ATGCGTACATACAAGCAAAAGTGCTTAAAGCAGAATCTAGTCTGGTTACCAGAAATATAAACATTTGTAGTTCCAAGTGAGTTTTTATTCAGATTTTCATGTTATTGTATTTTTAATATGTGATCACATATTATGAAAATATATACTTTCACTTAAATTCATTGTATATAAAACATTTATATGTAATGTGGTGATGCATTGAAAGGCTTATGTTGAAATTTATTGGCGTTTCTCCTTTTAAATTGTTTATTATAATCTATTCTTTTAATTTCTTTGAGTTGGTATTTATATCATGATTCTGAATTCACACTTACTATATTATTTGCCTTTACACTTCTGTTTTACCATCTTGCAGCAGTTTTATTTGCCTGCATAATTTATTATGACATGGTGAGTGAAAGCACCGAGTTGTTACTGTAATTACCTAGCTATTTGAATGATGTCATCCCTCCATAGAATTGCTAGAAGCATGAAATAGAGTAGTCATCAGAAATAAAGTAGAATTTTTCCCTTTGGAGGGTATGGTGGAAATGAAAAAATTAACGGAGTGTAAAGATATTGATCAAACATCTGAATCAGCCCAAAATTTCGTTATTGGGGGGGCGGGGGGATACAGGATGTCAGTTCTTGTTAGATACCTTCTTTAGATCCATTTCCTCTTATTCCATACAAAGTATTGAGGATAGTGTGAGCCTTTCCTTGATCAGTAAACACTGGGTATTGTATTTGAGAGGTTATTTCCCTTTATCATCTTTCATTATTAATCAGCAATAGTAACAGCATATTATTTCAAAATAATATTAATATGAATGATTGCTATAAACAGCTGCATAGCTTGTGCAGTTGTATATAACTCCAGGAGATGCTGTTTACATAGGTGATAATAAGAATGGCACATCCCCACCCCGAAGCTGTGCCATGTGCAAACTTCACAGTGTAATGTGTCACTGTGCTTTAAATCCTAGCAGTGTCTTCTAGAAGTTTGATATAAATATGTCACACTGGAAATGTGGAGGCTTTTTTGGGATACCCAATACCAAGTAAATTCTTCTTCATATGTCATTTGAAAACTATATAAATACATAAATCTTGAAGACAGATTCCTTTTCATTGTCGTTCTAACTATATACAATTTTATTGTGAAGTCCTTCACTTCAATGATGACTAGTAAAAAACTGACACCAGATAAAAATTAGGTAAAAAAGAAGAGATTGGTGACTCTTGACTCTTTTATATGTTGTCTCTTCTTTTTTTCAAAATAAACCAACTAATACCAATGAAAATTATTTCTCCATAAAGGCATGAAGAAAACGATCAATTGTTATAAACATA